CTTCTCATCACGTAGGTACCCAACGTGACTCGGCTTATAGAAGTCATTTTGATTTAGTTTTAGAACACGTCTCGACTTTTCAATTTCGTTCATTTGGAATTTCAAAGATTCAACATCAATTTTTCTTCCTATTGTCATCTCACAATTTTGCACAGCACTTTCCAATTCTTTTACCGACGTTTGCAAATGTTCATGTTGGATTGAATGATCTTTTTCCTGTCTTTTTTCAATTATATCTAACTCAGTCATCATAAAGTTCTCGTGTTCCTTTAAAACTCGAATTAGTTCTTCAACGGTGGTACGTACATTGTTACGAGCTGCAGCAATTTTATCTTTACTTATTCCAAATAGTTTTGTTATTTCTTTGATTTGCATCTCGACCTCTGCAATTTGCATTTTCACTTCTTCGACAGCATTTTGCAACTTCAATTTCTCTTCCTCTGCGGCCTGTTCGATACTCACTTTGGTGTGATTAGTGTGACGCGTTTGCTTACACTTGTCACTAATGCAAACCTTGCAATCCTTACAATAATACTTGAATGACTGCGACTCGTGGAGTCCCTCTCTACATATGGCAGTGCTCTCTGACGGCCCTTCCGACTCAATGAATTTACCTTAGGAAAAAAAAATCAAAATGGGAACTCAAAAGTATGTTCAGTTGACTAATGCACAAGGGTGTTTTTATACTTCTACGTTCAAAGTGGACTGTCCATCGAAGGGTTACAAAGCAGTGTTGCAGCGTGATTTTTCCAGGAATGAGATTCAAATACACGAACCAGTCTTGTTTCATTAAACTCATTTCTGGCGTTTTCTTTTGTTGGCGTTATTTCGATTGCAAAGAAGCAAAAGGAGACTAAAACAGATGTGTATCTAACCTTCAACTCCAGGTTTCTTTTCTGGAGAAAAGCACGATAGCATTAAATAATCAAGCTTTTCCATAACCTCATCCAGTTTAGCTTTCGCTTTGAGCGCTCCGACTGCCAAGCCTCTCGCAATAGAGCCACTGCAGGAACCTCACTAAAAGACCGACCAAACACAAACGAGAAATGCTAGTGGCAATTATCACATGGCTTAACATCATCGACTTACGAACCACGCTAGTGACTGAGACTCTACGCAACGCCTAACCAATAGCACCCACTATTCTTAAACACGGACTCTCGAAAGCTGGTTCACAAACTCTGAACAGGCTAGACTTTGTTCTTAAATTCCCCTCTCCCCCTTCCCCCATGTCGATATTTATCGATAAATTATCAATATTTATTCTCGAAAAAAGAAAGAAAGAAAGAAAAAACCGCAAAAAAAAAAAAAAAAATCAAAGAAACAAAAAACCAGCATTAAAAGATGCTGACCTTCAATTTCAGGTTTCTCTCTTTGAGTCATGCTTGATGTTTTCAATTCAACTAGCATTTCAATGACCTCATCTAGTTTATCTTTCACATTGTCTTCGTCTTTCTTCCATTGGCTGAGAAGTGCTTTGTAGTGATCTTCAGTTTCAGGGTCCATACACTCAGTTTCAAGATCGTCGATGGCTGCTTCGTATTTCGCTCCACCCAGTCTCACTAGAGTGTCCCGGATGTCGCCCCAGCATGTGTTGAACATTGCATCATCCACTGAAGCGCACTCAGCATGACCATATACTGTGTTCCTGTAATATTTAACTCGGGCGATATCAGCTTCAAGACTCACATCTGTTGCAGCAGGAAGTGTATCCCAGCCTGCCGCAGGAGAGGGTAAGCCGCATAGGTTTCGAAGCAGAACCAATAAAAGTGTGATATCAAAGTCTTTGGAAGACACTGAGGATGGAATAACAGGATAGAGCTTTCCCCATTGCGTTGCATCGATAACCTTTCTCCTTCTTAATGGCTGTAAAATTGCTTTTTTGGCTGCCAAAATTGATTGAAGATTCGTTGGTGGATGGATGGTATCGAATGTGTCTCTAAGGGCCTGGGTACCAGTATCAACCAGCAGACGACATAGGCGAGCATAGTTCGTTGTCTCCTTTGTTGATGAAACTGTTGGTGCTGCACACGCCATTGAATATCTAAGGCAGAAAATACTTTTTCAGCTTACATGTATCTCCACCGAGAATGGCGCCTAAAAAAATAGTCAATAAAGTTTTACTCACTTTAAAACTTACGCATATTTTCAAAAGAATTCAAATAGTTCACTGGAATCCATAGGAAAAAGTGTTGGGTAATTAAGTTTTCGTTGCTGGAAACTAGCACAGCAAGGTTAAATCCTAGCCAAATTTTAAGTTTTGAGACTGCTGGGAAATTATTTAAGTCAGTTTTTATTATACATTTATCCTAAATCTAACCTCTCGTTTGAAACCGTTCGGCTCCTCGGAATATTTCCTCTTAACGAAACTATTTGTTTTGACGGAGTGCTTTTGTTGTACAATGATAGCTGAGAACATTAACTGTTAAAATTTCTCTCATATGATGAAATTCTTGCAGTTTCTTGGCCAAACATTCCGCCAAAATTATCAATCTTTAGCTTATATAACACATATTTCGGTATATTTTGCTAAATGGAAGTTAAAAATTGCCGGAGAGAATGATCACTGCAACTTATTTGGTCGGAAACTGGTACTGGGTGGAAACTGAAAAAAAAGATTATTGAATGATTTAACTAATGAAACTCAAACACCTAAAAGAACTGTCTGTTTATCGGTACCGGCCTCGTGTAAGTAGGTCGTTTGATTTTTTGCGTCAAGGCTAGTGAATATAACAGGGGTATTAGAAACAGATTTAATTGGTGGTAAAATGGGGGTTCGTACCTTAGTTAATATGCGCCTCACGCAGAGTACCCGTTCAACATGAGGTCTGCCTAATACAGTTCTCGCTATGAGATAATCTATTTGGAGTATTATGATTACTATCAGTTCCCAGTCTATCCCAGCCAAAATCTCCATAACTTATTGAGGTGTGAAACCGAACGAACGGTAATTTAACATACTTCGATCAACCTGAGAAATAGATCAATCGATTATAGAGTCAGTTGTCTATTGAATATGGTCAGAAAGTAAACTAAAGGTCTATTTGAATGTTATGCCACGGTCAGGTTGCATATGAAATGGCTAAAATCTCATCAGAATCGAGGGAAAAAATTCATGAAGTCCTGTAAACAAAATCGATCCCGATGTAAGTCGATTGTGACCGACTTGTTTGACTACTGATGTGGCTCCATGAACTCTTTCATTATCGATTATCGAACATTAAACCCCCGAGACCCTCTATTGAGAGAGAAACTTATGAGTTTCATTTGTGGTTTGTTATATTATGGTTTGAATAAGCCGATTAGATCGAATTAAAGCTGATGGAGGCGTCTTAGGTGAGCGCAAAGGCAGAATTCATGCGTATTTATGTCAAAATTGGATGTAGTTGAAGTTGTAGGGGTAATTTAGACGTTATGAGGTTCTACAAACTCAAAATATCTGTATTTGTCAGACTACACCGTCTTCTTCACTCCCAGATTTTGTGGCTTATTTTGTTTCTACCCTCCTTCCTCAAACCTAGTCATATTTAATTCAACTCGAATAATCTAAAAGCTAATTATTACTGAGGCGAATCAGCTCTTGCAAATACCGCTTTTAGGCAACGACGAGAAGTAGATCACGGTATTAATCTTATAGGTTTATTGAGAATTGGGTCATTTTGGTATACCAGCTGCATGATTTTTGGGTTATGGAGACCATCGTAAACGTGACATTGTAACAGTTCGCTTAAAGATGACGAATTGAATTTGAATCCCGTAGTAATTACCAAAATCATTGAAAAGAAACGAAACTTTGAGCACGAGATCGTAAGGTTTGATATGAAACTTTTAGTATTCACTTATGCGTTGTCATGTTGTTATTCATATGTAGTTGATCAAACTTAAGCAAGATTTTAAACAGGAACGAAACTTTTGATTAGCGGATACTGTGAAGATTGTGAGGTTGAAAAAAGATAACCGATCTATAAATAAATGTATAATTGGACACACAAACATACCTGGAGGGGACCACTACCTGCTCCCTCTGAGTAAATCCACAACAATCTTTTTCAGCCCTTCCGTTTTTTCTCAGATTAACCTTAAAGGAACACTCTTCCCTACTAACTCTTCTTGCTGAAGTAAAGTCCTCTCGGCGCTGTTTGTTTCCTATACCCCCGATCGAGTCTCTCCCAAGATGTCCGCGTATCAGGAGGGAAACCTGGGGCGAGGTAAAGTTTGAGCACTTCCGTTGCCTTAATACTATGACCAATGTAGAGCTTGAAGGCTTGGTGTATTTGTGTTTCTTTGACGACGGATCTTGGTTTCAGGTAGAGTTTGGTTTCAATTCTTTCTATTCTGTGTTGCGTAGTTACTAGTAAATGGTTGCATGTACACTAATGACCTTAATGGTTCAGGTCAGAGCCCATTGGATCTTTTCAAGATTGACGAAACAAGATAAGCTTTATGTACATGTCCCTCTGTAATTCCCCTTTCCTCGATGAGTAGCGTGAATTTGGATCTCGATAGCCACTGCACTTGCTATTTGAATGAGAGATTGTAGGTTATCTTCTTCTCTCAATATTACACTGAAGACTGACGACTCCAACTCTCTAAATTAACCCTCCCCTCCCCCATGGAGCAACGAGGCAGTTCCATGCTTAGTAATAATAGCCTTTATTTGGCATAAAAATATGCACGGATATTTGTCTGCCAATGTTATCGGTTCTGAGATGTGTGCTTTGAGAAACAGAGAGTGTAAAAAGACAAATACACAAGCATATTTCTGCGCCAAATGTAGGCTCTTCTTTTCCTTCAAATATTTTTGAAGCACATGGGAAAAATGTTTATGAACAACTAACTGTTTTCTGCATGGGATGTTAATCTTTTTAGTGTTTTGTGGTATGACTTCATGAACAAACAAACACATCCCATCTTCTGTAACAGTAGCTAAATGCTCTTTCATCTTGAGTTAAATTTTAAACAGATGCTTTATCATAAGAGATGTATAGTTTGAAAATTGGGGTGTATCCTTGGATATTTCCCAGTTTTAGCTGGGTTATGTTCAATCACATTATGCATTAGACTAATTGTGTGCAAGGAAAAATATTTGATGGATTATGAGTTTGTCTATTATTCATAGTAAAACTTCTCTAAGTGGTAGATTAAAAGGTAACCTGTAATGAAATTTTGAAGCAGCCCATTTAGCTGTATGATATAGGGGAAGTTGTATCAGCTATGGGATATGAAACTTTACCATTGTTGGGGTGCACTGACAGTGTTACTTTGTAAACATGACATAAATGTGTATCTTTTCAGTGATAATGATTGCAATTTTGAATGTGTATTGCACTTATAAGAGTAAATGTCATCTGTATTAGGTCATCTGAAAACTTTAGTAAGGTTAATAGGCTTTGTGGTTAGGGATGAGTTTTTTTTAAATTTTTTGCTCAAATTTCAAGAATAGCTACAATCAGTCTATAGTGTTATGGTGTATCGTAAACCTGTGCTGATTTTGCTGATCTCAGGGTACACTGCTAACCAGGGATAAAAAACAGTATGGAGTTATGGGTGAAGGTAAGCAATTAAAAATTAAGAAATCATGAAGCCCTGAGCAAGTTGTCCAATAAAATATTTTACCAATATCATTTTCATCCTCTTTTTTGTCCAGCATGGTACATTGAAGGCCTTTACATTTATCCAGCATTTTCTTTTTGGTCCTGTGCTGTGCCTACAGGCCTGACTTTGTGACAGATAAACTAAAGATAGCCCACTCTTTACAGCCCTTGCAAGCTTTTGTTTAAATGAGGCCATTACACATTATAAGTTAGACAGCTTAGGAATTTCTAAACCTTTTAGCCTGAAATCAGGACCGTAATAACTATGTAACATAGCAACTTAAATTATGGTGTTTTTTTTTCAGCTAATGACATAGAAACCACCATGCAGCACTCAAACTTCACCATTCAAGCTTTGATAGACATGAACTTCAAAAATTTTTGAAATTTTATTGAGACTATAATTCTCAATAGTTTAAGAAGTTATTGATTTTTTTGACAAAGTGGAGGGTTTAAGCGAATTCAGTGCCAAGCACTTCATTTGATATTCACCAATTAATATCCAATTCATGTTCATGCAAATAGCAGTTATTAGCTGCCGTTATTTCTGCTATAATTCTCTCAGGCTGCAGGTATTTGTCACTCCCACTTTGTGAGAGTAACATATTATAATTTCTCAGCCTGTCAGGCTGTTGATGTGGTTAGCTTATGAAATTATGATTAAGCAATCTTCATTTTATATTTGTTTTTATATCAATGTATTTTACTTTTATTTATTTGATATGCAATGAAATTAATTCTCAACAGCTTGTGGCCCACCAGAGGAAGGGTTTGCTGAATGCTGTTTTGAAGAAGAACCATTATTTTACATGATTACCATTATTGACCGACAAGATGACGAAGAAAAGGTGCGAGTCAGAATTAATTGCTTTCACATATCATCCTGTTAAAATCAGTGGTAGGGATCTTTTGGAAGAACAACTACATTGAGAAAAGTGTTATACAATATTCAAGTGTTACTGGTCCAGTCATCAGTGCTAAACTCTGGAGCAAAAGTGCCAGTTTGATCCTGGTCTTGCATCACCATTCTCTAAAGTGAAATCTACCTTAACCCTTTAACTCCTGTGAGTGACCAAGACAGAATTTCTCCTTACAATAGCTATATACTATACATATATACACTATATGAAGCAAACAAGTGATGAAATTAAAGAAAAATCTTAATGAATGGATTATTAGTTGATCCAATACCAAATTCTCTAAACTAACATCACAAGAACTGTATGGCAGACAGTAAGGAGAATTACAGATGAAAACTTGGGAGTTAAAGGGATAAGTAAATTACAGGATGACTCATATTAATATTGTATCTACTTAAGGTGGCTCAAAAATTTTATTTTTGCTTTTTAACTCCCTTTTTCCATGGATTATTATTTTCACACTTTTTTATATGTTTCCTTAAAATTGGTAAATTCAGTAAATTGGTGATTCAGTAACCATTTTTAGCTACCTAAGGTTTTGTAAATTGCACAACAGTGGTTTAAAACCCAAATAGGATAGAGTGAATGATCAACAAGCTTACAACAGAATGACCCTGCGCTATTTGTCAGAGTAAGTGTAATACTAATAAAAGTAAGAGATCTGTAATCTTAACTGTGGTTAAATACAAAGAAATCTCAAGCTCTCAGTAAAAGTCCCCCCCTTAATGGGGGTTCTCATCATACAGGCTTCATCATATTCAGGGCAAGACATGTAACTGTTACAAGTGTATCCATTACAGCATCAAAAAAGGTTGCTGTGGATATGCCTTATGTATCAAAATACCTTCAGAATCAGCAGCATGGAACTGGCATTATATGTGATTAACAATACTTTGAAATGTGTAATTCCCCAAGAATTGGACCAATATGCACAGCCATAGGCAGTCAAACTGGAGGCATGCTACACAGTTCTAAATGCACTGAAGGTTTTGAATTTAGTACTAATGGCCTAATCATGAAACAACTAGCTGATACACTGTCTACTAGTTCTTAATTTGGCCCTAGTGCAGACTTAGCTAAATACGACTATTTCTTGTATACTGATACATATTCAATCAATCACAGGTGTTTAAACATGTTATGAAGACTGGTGGTGACAACTGTACATTAACATCAAATGAAATTGACTTTGAAACTGAAGAACTTTTAGTTGGAAGCAAGGTACGCTTAGTGGTGAATGAGAACGTTATTATTCAGTTTGTCACTGCATGTGTTACTTAATTACAATCGACAAAATTCTGTTTTCAGTATTTTGCTGTTTTGCAATCATTAACTTCTTAAACGATCAATATGTTGTGGTTACAAACTAAATTGAGAGCCTAAAGGTCAGCTATATCACATAGTTTGACTAGTTTGTCCATCTTTGATATTTTAGATTAAGCTAGCTTTTGTGTGGGACTTCAGCTACTCTTGTTAATTTTCTATCCCATTTCAGCCTTATTTTTCTTTTCTGATAACCATCAGATGCAATTACATTTTATTTTAAGAAAACGGGAAATATTTTCGATTTTACGTTGTTGTGCGTTTGCTGAAGTGTGCTTTCAAACAGTTAATTTTTTTAAAGTTGATAACGTTGGTAACCTCAATTACATAGGCCTGTGACTCCTAACAAGGATTTTACCGTTTGATAGGAATTTAAATACGAACAGTCTGTCAACTTGACGCCCCTTTATTACAAATGCTTGTATACACGCGACCAACTTGTATACCGACCCGTATGCGAGTTGACTTGTAGGTGAAAATGACTTGTAGGTGAGATAACTTGTGGGCGAGGGTGGACCAACCAAACCGTAGTTTACCGCGGTTTCTGTACCATGATGCAAGTGCAAACATTGCTTGAATCCTCATTGATAGGGGCTAACTCGTGACAGATTAACTCTCCGCTATTTTGACCTTTTCTAATGGAGGAAGAGCTACTTTTGCTGTATGCATGGGTCCAAGGGCAGGAAAGGGATTAATTGCGCGAGGATTTTCGAAGTTCTCAAAAAATTGCCCTAAGGCAATTTGTAGAACTGTGAGGTGAAATTAATCTTTAATTGCACGAGGACGTTTTCAATTACTTGTTTATCACCTGTAGAGCATAGAGGGCACTATGTTACAGATCAGTAACAGTTCAGCTGTGTTCTCAAGAATTACTAATTCCAGTCTAATCACTTCCTTTCTTTGAACCTTGTTACTCTAACCGCCGCGTTACACGATGAATGTCGTAAATCACATTCAAGGTGTTTGCCTTGATCATAGTGACCTGATGAATGGATTCTTTCTTAAAAACCTGCTTTGAATTAATCCCTCTTTGACTTTCTCCGTGTGTTCCTTTGTTTTACAGGCAAGTAATCACGTGAACAAATACTGCCGGTCAGAGCTGAAAGGAAAGGAGAGCATTGTTTGTTCTGGTCACATGACAATACATCGTAATGTTGAGCAAGACTAAAGGACAATTGTGAGATGAAAAGTTTTAATTAACAGTTCATAACAACGGCTTAAATTTTGCTTTCCTTCTTTCCAATGTGACATTTTGTCCTAAGGTAAAGCAAGCACTGTCTCGTGCACTTAGATCTGACGTAGTGAGGGTGTTTTGGAAGTTGTTTTGCAAAACTTTTGTCGTGGCTGAAGATCCATAGCAGAAAAATATGGTTACCAGTCAGAATACCGCTGCACTTGTTACATTGGTTTATTGTGAATTCTCCCCATTGCAAGTTCGGTCCCAAACCCAAAGCAAGTTCGCCTCCACCTTAACTAGTTTACCCCTTTCGACTCGTTTCCTTACAAACGCACTTCTAATGCACGAGTAATGCAAAGTCGTGAAACTACTCCAGTCTTAATCAAACGGGATTGACAGAATTTTGTGCCTTTACTCACAGCACTGTTTAAACCTAGTTATTTTGTCTTTCCTTGGAACTTCATGCTGACCCAAAAGCTTCAACAGCATTGCATAATAACGCTCTTAACAGGTAGTTTGTTGTTGTAAGGGTGCAAACTCGCAAAGGTCAGTGATTTGGGGCGAACTTGCAAGGGCCGAATTTATCAGTTACCTTCATATTGAGCAGTTGCAAATAGTATAGCGTCACAAGTACTTTATATATGCTTGCGTTTGGCGTTATTTGGCTTATCGTGAAATAATTTGAAATGTGATTAAATTGATATTTGCTTATTTGCGCCACAAAAAGACTTAGGAGATGAGATGTCTGTGGTAGCCGAGTTTTTGTTCTTTGCCCTTCTTTGAGTAAGAGTACTACAAAATCTTTCCCATAGGGGACATCAAGCGAGATTTGACTACAACTTTGTAAACCACTATTAAACGTGGATGAATGTGCCTTGAGTGGCGATTGGTATACTGTAAAGCGTCCTAAAGTGGGCAATCGCGGTGAAAATGTTTCATGTAGAACGTGGCTTTGAGTCATGGGCAGTGACGTCATTCATCCGCACACATCTAATCCCATTAAAGCATTTGACCACATGTTGGCAGTCATGTTGTCGCCTTTAAGAGGCTACTTAGCGTGAAAATGGCTTGAAGGGGCGAAGATTGCTAATAGGAAGGTCATAAAAATGACGATGAAATTAACTTAAATTAAAAAACAATTGTTGATAAATCTGATGGAAGTTAGCTTTGAAAGTTGTACACCTCTCTAACCATGTTTTTTTTTTATTTCGAAACAAATGCTCAGCCCTCTCGAGATCGCCAATTTTCAATTGATGCCAACAGTCGCGCGCTCGTATTCGGACAAAGCGTTTGTCCTCAGTATGGCTGCAACCTCAGGCGATATTTGTAGACCCGGCCCCGTGTACATGGTTTCTCAATGTGGCCCCCATCTGACAAATAACATCGTGAATTTTGCGATTTTATTGAAATGTAAACGAAACAGCTTGGACCTAAACTTTGAGTTCTCGCAAACTCGAAATAAGACTTGTTATGCTTTTGATACGGAAGGGCGTAAAACGTTGATTTTTTTCATTGAATACAAATAACTTGGCCTTTTCAGTGTTACGCTCGACTGCTTCACTTTTTTTCCACACTCTTTACAGCTGAATTGTGAACCAGTCACCAATTGCACTTACATATTTATTGCCCCATTGCAAAGGTTACGAAAGAGGAGAACTTACATTTTGAAGACAAATGAGACATTACAGGTCTTTTCAAATGGTTAAACGCCCTCAAACAGGTACCATTAAGAGCGCTTTCAACCACACATCGCTGAAATGACACGAGCTACTAATACTACAACGGAAAAAAGGTCCCAAATATTTTTGCCAAATATTTTCTTCAAATGTTTTTCTGTTGCTCTAGTATGTATTATCTCTTTCTGTGGTGGCTACTTCCTGAATTTGAGTTATTCGACCAACCATCTAGAGATTGGAACGAAAACAAATCCGATTGAACGGAGAAATTCGCGTCACTTGCGTCCTTATCGAGAGCAACTCTTGGATTCGTTCAAGGCAGAAAATTTAGAAGAAACGTTAAGGTGAGGAAACCAAGTAATCCTTTTCAGAAATTGCGATTTTCTGGCAAGAGATCAACTCCCATTATCGAAAACCGACCGACTGCTTTTGTTTGTTCTTCACAGGTATTTCTCCAAGGAGCCACATCTCGCTGGTTCAAAACGCAACAACGACTTAGCGCACCACATTGCTGCTAAATGGCGAGAGTATGGCTTTGATGAAGTTACAATGCCAAAGTATGATGTGCTCATGAGTTCACCTAAAAAAGATCGGAAGAGCCATGTGGAAATTCATCGTAATGGTCGTGTGATCTTTAAATCACAGTCTCATGAAAAGGTGATAACGGTTTGCTTGTTAACTGTCTTGTTATTTTGACTACTCTGGCTTTGATTTTTATCCTTTTGCAAACCCTGTAAAATGTAAATTAACGAGGCATCTGTGATACTACAAAATCTGAGTGTATCAGTTTCGCATTTAGATTCTTGAGTCTTTTTTTTAGTTTTACGCTTCGAGGCAGACCACCAAAAACTAAAATTATACAAAGATTCAAAATTTGTTAGGTGTTAGTCGCCCTGACGAAGGGCTAACGCTCGAAACGTCAGCTTTGAAACTCTCAACGGTGGCCAACTTACGTTATCAACTCAGTTGATAATACCATATTACCATGTTATACTCTCCCACCGACGCAACACCACAGTCTCTTCGGAAACTTGCCCCCTTTAACAAAGAAGTGCATTGTCATCCAACGGCCAAGCTGTCTTTAAACTTCACCTCCAACAAAAAGATCCTTTCACAGCTGCTACATTTCACATTTCTTGTTTATCTTAACAGGTTTTACGTGAAGATGAAAAGAAAAGTAAAGATATCCCAATTTTTCTTGGTTATTCTCCCAGTGGGGTAGTGGAAGGTGAAGTTGTCTACGCCAACTTTGGCACTGAAGACGATTTTGAGAAACTGACAGCTATGGGAGTGTCTTTGAAAAATAAGATTGTTATAGCGCGACAGGGACGAGTATTTAGAGGAAACAAGGTATGCTATTTGTATTTAGAACTTAACAACCTTAGCGCAGATGTTACTGGGTTATGATTTGAGAGCTTCGTTGAATTGTTGTCTTTAACACTGCAATAGCTGTTGCACGCAATTTATTTCTTTTTTCGTCGGTTCTTTGAATCGTGGTTATGACTGCGCGCGCTAATAGGTCGTAGGGGTAAGGGATCAGGGTTAGGTTGTTTCCCATTGGCTAATCTGCAGAAACTGCTTATAAAAGTTTGTCGGCTTGCTGAGTTCAGAGTCAGGTGTGGTCTTTTCATACTCTTGCGAGCAAAGAAAACTTCTGGTGCCAATGTAAGTGCGCTGAAAGTCGAAAGAGAAGAAAACAACATCCGTTCCATTCCCTTTGCAAATTTTTACAGTTTGCTATTATAAAACATTTTAAGGAACTATGGCTTTCTCTACCTTTGAAATCTTTTGAAACTGACTTTCAAGCAATTCCTGTCAAAAGAATGCGTATGTACTCTTCCATCTTTGATTACTGGGTAAACTATGGATGGATTAATATATAGATTTAGCCAAGCCTAGAAGCGGAGCTCGCAATTTTTTTCCCGCACGTCCCAAGGGCACAACGCCTTGCAATTAGTCGCACTTGATTATGATAGTCACTCAAACTTCATTGTTTCCTTAAGGTCTTCAATGCTCATTCACACGGCGCCTCTGGGGCCCTCATATACACTGACCCTGCGGAGTTTGCACCAGAGGGAGACGGAAACACTTTTCCCAAATCCTGGTGGCTTCCAGACTCCGGCACACAGCGTGGGTCAGCGATAAGTGAAACGGGGCCTGGTGACCCACTTACCCCGGGCTTTCCTTCTGTGGATGGTATATACCGACAGCCATTGAACGAAAGTGGCTTACCACCAATTCCTGCCTTTGCTCTATCTTATGGCGACGCCAAAGAAATATTAAAGCGAATGAAAGGTTAGAAGCTTAGTGACGCCGAGATGTTGTTGTTGTCGTTTTTTTAGTTAATTATTCTGTGAGTCGCTGCAGGTAAAGAGCGACTCATTCAATTGACCAATACTGATTTCTCTTGTGTTTTACTTGCAGTGACGCAAAATCTAAATTAGGTGCACCTTCACTCGGGCTTTCGGTTCTTCCTTCCGGGGTTTAATTTTTTTTTACGCTAGGCCCCTTCACTTTTGAACTTTATCCAAAATTCAGAAATGTTTTTGAAACTTCAAGCTATTTTTATGACATTCGGAACTGACTTGCTTTCGGCCTATCCTCTCAATTTTTTCTTAAATTGATAAGGTCTTTTTTTTAGAAGTGCTGTCTGCTTGTCAGCGCCTTTGGCAGTTCGGATTAAGACATTCGAGAAAGAGATAGTGGAACAGTGTTCGAAGGAGTTAATTTTGTAATAGGACTCCACTTATTTACCTCTCTCCACGTGGACTATATCCGTATTTTCAGAAGCCAATACAATGTCTATCATGTTCTTACAACTTTACTCGACAGGTCCTGAAGCCCCGAAGAGCTGGCAAGGAGGCTTGCAACTCACTTATCACGTCGGGCCGGGTTTTAAAGACGAAGATCTTTCATTACGCTTGGATATTAGGAACAACATGGAGAATAAAACCATTACCAACGTCATTGGCCAGATCAGAGGCGCCGTAGAACCCGACCGTTATGTACTCATAGGGAACCATCGGGACGCTTGGGTGTTTGGTGCTGCTGATGCAGTTAGCGGTACGGCTGCAATGATGGAGTTGTCTCGTGGTTTGGGAGAGCTTCTTAAAACGGGATGGCGACCTCGCCGGACCATAATGCTCTGCAGCTGGGACGCGGAGGAGGTGTTTGTGGTTGGATCAGCCGAATGGGTTGAAGAAAATGCTCGAACTCTTCAAGATCGCGCTGTTGGTTACCTCAACATGGACGTGGCTGTCAATGGCAATTTCAGTATCAACGTTGATGCAAATCCTCTACTCCAAGACGTGGCTGTATCGTTGACCAAAGAAGTATGTGATCCAACAGTTTCGGACACTTGCAGAAGCATGTACGATGTCATGTTAGAGAGAGATGTTACGAAACACGAGAACGGGATCCCATTCTGCGATAATTTGTCGTTCGGAAGTGATTACGTGTCGTTTTATCATTTCATCGGAGTCTCTTGTGCGGATTGGTCTTACATTTTCGGGGGGTTGTATGGAATAAGGCGATCGTATCCAGTTTATCATTCCATTCACGATTCATATTACTGGATAAAAACCTTTGTCGATCCCGAGTTTAAGACTCACCTAGCCGTAACAAAATATGCTGGGATTTTTCTTCTTGAATTAGCAGACGTGGAGCTCTTGCCTTTCAACACTACAACCTATGCAGAACTGTTACAGAAAAAATCCACTATTATAGAAAAGAGCAAACATCTCAAAACACACAGCATCAGCACGGCTGCCTTCTCTCGCGCGGTAAAGAACTTCGCAAAAGTTGCGCGTCAGTTTGAAAGCAGTAAGTCAAAACATAAACCAGAGAGCTACCGCACGTTAAACGATCAAATGATACAACTAGAGAAGGCGTTTATTCAAACTGTGGAAGTGAATGATCATAAACAATTACGACATGTTATATACGGTCCAAAGCTTGCCAATCTTTACGGCGGTATCTATTTCCCACGCGTACATTATGCCACGATGAAGGCCGAAAAGACGGGAGACTGGAAATCGGTGGAGAAAGAAATATCACTTTTGACATTTGCCATAAACTCAGCCTCGAGGGTTTTGAAACCGATATGATAAACAAGAAAGCTGTAAAATAGTATTAAATTTGTCATGTGAAGAACTACCGTGGATAAATTTGAATTTTTTTCTAAGCCGTTTTGTTTATGCTAGTTAGAAATTTGCTACGTTCTTTTTCGGCATTTTCGCCGACCGATGCTCATTTGAGATTTGTCACAAAGCAATTGTGAAAAAAGCCAGTTTAAATTCATTGGAACTGAAGAAGCTAGTCAATAAAGAAGTTAATATTTGACATAAAGAATATCTTGTAGAATGTACCCTTGTCGTAGAATGAATTCGCGAGACTCAGTAATAATCATGGATTAGTTCAGTGTGTTCGATGTGGCCTAGGAATGAGTATTTTTTTTCTTAGCGTATTAAAATCCAGGGCATAATTAAATCTGCAAACATCAAATTGTGGTGCGGCTCACAGTTCCGATTTGGGTGCAATTTTTCTACATATCTTCCAAAGGCTGCCTAACTTATCTACTCCTGCATGAAATCGAGGAGAATGTATTCTCGCGTGAGATTAAGACCAGGTGTATCAGTCAGTCCAAGATGGCGTCGAAAAGCTGAAAGAGTCTGACTTCGGATCGATGTCCACGGGACTGAAAATAGACACGAATTGTAAGCGTTCTTCTACTTTGAACGCAATTAGGGTAATATTAGGCGAAATTGTAAGAAAATGTTGTGTTCGCGTTTACTGTAGACATGCACAGTCTTATAGCATTAAAAATGTTTTGGCTGGCGTAAATTCACTTAAAAAACTATATTTTAGAGACTGCTTACAGTTATTCTTGATTTATTTTACATATATACATTCGAGAACACTTCCGTCCACTACAATAGTCTGACATAAAGAAATTATTAAGCCAATCAATAAAGCACTCGGTATACATTCTGTTTAAAAAACCATGAAGTTTACAGACTCTTAGGCCTTTTATTAAATAAAATTTTAACTATTATTCATCCAAACCGCACTCTAATCAATATTGAGACAAGCAGAAAAATTCACCCAATCGTTAAGATTTTGCGAAACCGTCAAAGAGATTTATATAAAGCTCCAAAAGAAAATCAAATTTCTTGGAAAAAACCCACAAATGATGAACATTCGAAGTTTTGATCGTCAAATTAAAAGCCGCGGCCCTAATTAGACCTCGTTTCAATAACCGAACCTCGGGGCCAGTTTATTACACAAGGTCTAACCCAAACCACGGTTTTTACTTAATTAGTGGGCCTCAGGCTTTCTCTATGAGAGGATAAATCTGTTTAGCCTGCAGAGAAGGCGTAATTTTGGCGAGCGAGTGCTCAGTATTTTCTTAGCCAAAATCATGGAGCTATCTTTGGTTTTCATGGCAGCGGAAGGCTGGGGAGTGAAAGAGTGTTAAGGGGGTGAGCGACAGTAAAAAGTAAGTAGAGGGGAGGGGGTGAGGGAGTGAATATAACTCCGCCTTTTTACCTTTCCCCGACATTTCCCTCACTGTCGACTGTAACTTCAAATCAATCATGGCTGGTTGAATAAACGTACGTTTCTTAAACGTTAACTTGCCCTAATATAAGATGGCTACACTGTTTCCTTACTAAGAACTGGTTAGCTCAAATGACCACCACAAACCGTATAATATCAAGCCAAGCTTTAATAATCATTCGATCTAAAATAGAATCTCACTTTACAGGTTAGCAGATTCTCCAGGTAAGCGGATTTGGAGACAGAAAAAATGATAACAAAATAACTTCTCTCTAACTTCGATTCCGGTGAAAAACTGACTTGAAACATAATAATCTAACGCTTTTAAATCAATCTAAAGAATTAATGTCAATCACGATTCTTGTCATTAAGTAAATCTGTCAACAACAACGCCTATTTGATAAACGAAACATTCACTGCAGGCTATAATTTGATTAAATAAAAGTCCTTCGACTTTTAGCTTTCGGCCATCTTAACACTGTTCACAAGAACAAATGTGCAGATAAAAGGTCAAGCTAAATTGATGATTGTTTAAGACGCGATTTCGTTAAACAACGGCTAAACTTTGTTTTAATAACCGGTCCTTAGTGTCTCCTCTGTACAACCTCAACCTTAGTGTCTCCTCTGTACAACTTCGCTTCCCGCAAAGAGCAGGCACGTAGCTCCTAGTGTTGTGGTCTGGCCTTGTTATTTTTTATACATGCAGGCCCCAATTTAAAGTAGCTTTAAAGCTGAACTGGGCCAGTCTGTCAAAATATCGTAAATAAATAAATAGCTGGGAGCTAGCTGCCGAGCTACACTAGCTGTTGATATGAGTGTCTCAGTTACAAGGATCTTGTGTAGAGTTGACACAAGTAAATAAGGTTCAGGCTTCTTTTCGATCGCTAGAAGCTAACGAATTAGGCGTTTCCTCGGCTCTCTTCTCTTTTAGTATCATTACCGAGGTCATTCATTTCTAGTTCATGGACTATGAATACTTAATTGAGCTCTTCTTTAACAACTTACCCCCACTGAGCATTAATGCATTGGGACTTCAACTTGAATATTTTATCTAACGGTAGAAGAACTGTCCCACTCGAACGGGCAACCATGCTTTCTCCATCATGAAGTTGCCTTCATGGCCAAAATGGAATACTTTACTAGGTACAGGAGAAAAACTAAAAACCAGGAGTAAATCCAAACAAACAAACGTCGGCAAACAAACAAAGCACCTGTAGATTGTGAAACAGCCTGGTTTGCACAGCTTGAGAGTTCATCCCGATTTCGGAATCATAGTGCGACGGAGCCTAACCTCTAGCTTTTTGTCAGGGCCTCCCTTACAGTTCGTTTGTGCTATGAATTTTTTTCTCCCGGGTATTGGTTGCGTAGTAAGAGTAAAGTTTCTTTCCGGGCTTTGATCTTGACTCGATCCTGGACCGCTCTAGTTTGAAGCCTTAATCAACAGGCTAGCACACACATGTTACATTTTGGCCATAGGACTAATAAAGATTGTGTTTTCTCAAGCTGGAAACTGTCATATTCAGGGTATTAAAATATAACGAAGGAAACCAATTTTTCAAATAAAAGTTCAAAAATATCTTCGTCTTTATATGGGTTTCAGAACATTTGCAGCAGAAGTAATGGCATATGTCAGCAAAGATATCTCTTTTTCCACCAATTTCCAATCTCCTGTTTTTTCCGCCTTGATCATGGCATAATGTACACGCGGAAAATACAAGTTATCGTACAGATCATCGATGTTGAGGCCATGTATTACATGTCTGGAAAGTTTCCAGTCGTTTTCTTCTACAGTTTGTATAAAAGCTTTTTCCACTTGCATCATTTGATCGTTCAGGATGCGGTAGTTCTCTGGTTTCTCATTTAACTTGCCTCTTTCAAACTGACGCGAAACTTTTGCAAATCTCCTCACTGCGCGAGAAAAAGAAACCGTGCTGATGTTATGCGCCCTTAGAGTAGCATTCTTTTCCAAGGAAACTGCTTTTGATTTTAAGAATTCTCCGTAACTGGTTGTGTTGAGAGGTAACAGTTCAGAGTCGGAAAGTTTGAGAAGAAATGCCCCTGCAAATTTTGTCACGGCCAGATGAGTTTGAAATTCAGGATCAACAAAAGTTTTCATCCAGTAAAACGTGTCGTGCACGGAGTGATAAACGGGATACGCTCTCCTGATGTTGTATCGTCCTCCAAAGATATAAGACCAATCTGCGCAGGGAATCCCAAGGAAGTGGTAAAACGCTCCATAATCACTACCAAATGACAAATCGTTACATACTGCGCGGCCATTAACATGTTTAGTTAAATCTCTCTCCAACATGACTTCGTACATACTTTTGCAAGTATCTGGAACTGTTGGATCACAAATTTCCTGCGTCAACTGTAATGCCAAATGTTTGAGTAAAGGACTGGCATCGACATTAAGACTGAAATTACCATTAACAGCCTGGTCTATGTTAAGGTAAGCAACAGCGCGATTTTGAAGAATTTGAGTATTTTCCTCGACCCATTCCGTTGATCCAACAGCACCAATTTCTTCTGCATCCCAGCTGCACAGCATTATTGTCCGGCGTGGCCTCCATCCTTTTTTAATCAACTCTCCTAAACCACGTGATAGTTCCATCAACACAGCCGTACCACTAACAGGATCGGCAGCACCAAATACCCAGGCGTCTCGATGATTTCCCAGGAGTACATAACGGTCGGGTTCTTCTGCGCCCCTAATCTGGCCGATCACATTGTAAATGGTTTTGAATTCCAAGCTGCTGTTGACATCCACACGCAAAGTGAGGCTTTTGTCTTTAAATCCAGGTCCGATATAGTAAGTTAACTGCAAACCTCCTTGCCAACTCTTTGGTGCTTTAAGACCTATCAAATTAAATAGAAACTTCCTTTATACCCTGTAGACATATAAAGTTTTGGGAAAGATCACTTTCTTTTTAGGCGTTACCTACTCTTCAAACATTTGAAAAGACAACGGATGTGCGTGGTACTAAATCAAAAGAGAAAATTAGCAAGGCAACACAAAGCATGCAAGACAAAACTTCGTCAATTGATCGAACTAATAAGTTTTCTAAAAATTTCCAGATGCAGTTACTCTCCATAAAAACGCACAGACGGACTTTCGATTTAATGAATTATCGTAACAGTTTAGCCAGAAAGGTTTTCTTGCTACACAGGGTAGGAAATTTCAGTTTTTTCTTTCCCTTCTTTGAAAAAACCTGGTAGGGCCTCAGGCCCTTAGTAACACCTTCCTCTTCCTGTGCTTGAAGCGTACTAACCTTTCATGCGACGCAGTATCTCCTGCGCATCCCCGTAGGATAGCACAATGGCAGGGATTGGCGAAGAACCATTGTTATTAAGTACCTCTCGGTAAATACCATCCACAGAGGGAAAACCTGGGGTGAGTGGGTCACCAAGCCCCGTTGCGTTTCTTGCTGCTCCACGCTGGGCCCCAGAGTCAGGAAGCCACCAAGAGTGAGGGAAAGTGTTGTTGCCGGTTCCCTCCGGTGCATACTCTGCAGGATCGTTATAGATGATGGCCGCAGATGCACCATGTGAAGCAGCATTGAGAACCTTTAGAAAATGATTTTAGTCTTTGGATTAATTCAAAGTAAGATCCTTTGTTGTTAAGTGCAAGACTCGATCGAGAGCCTGCAGTGTAACTATATTGATGAAAGGGAAAAAGGGAGGGGGGGAAGGGGTCATTATTTATTGCTGAGGGGGGGGGGAGGTTGGAAGATTTTGGTTGTGTCACAATAAA